AACTTCTCAACTTTCGTGTTTGATAAAAAATGAGAACTCCAAATAAAAACTTTATTGTACTATTCATCTTCCTACACTCTTTTGTTAAAAAAGTTTCGACCCAAAAGTCGAAACCTAAAATAGAAAGTGCGTAACTTTCTCCCTATAACCGTAGCCTCTTTTCCCATCTTCGCTGCTGAGAAACCCAGAACAAAGACGCAACATCCCTAAGCCGCTGAGCAACCCTTCGTCGAGCACCCCTCTCTTTCACAACACACTGTTCTTTACATCATGCCTCTCTGTTCTTCGAAGAAAAGGTCTCCTCATCTTCTTCATCTCTCAGATTCGGCATAACCAAATCGAGTTAAGGGATCACTGATCTCATCTTCGTCTTCAAATTCTCACTTTGCTTAATTTTCATGTGATTTGGCTCTCCATTTCTTTTTTCTGGAGACAAATCTGTGCAAAAATTGGTAAAAAAATGATGTTCTCTACAGTTTAGGGTTTTTTTTGAGGTTTTATGTTTTTTTTAAATTGGTAAAATTGGTAAAAAAAAAAAAAGTGTTTTTTATTTGAGCTCTGATATTTAAGCTTTTTTTGAGCGAAAATTGGTAAAAAAAAAAGTTTAGGGATTTTTATGAGGTTTTTCTTATCTTTGAGCTTTGATATTTGAGCTCTGATCAGAGTACGAATACATTATAAATTTCATTGAGGTCAGATCTTTGAGCTTTGACCAGAGTACAAATACATTACAGTTTAGGGCTTTTTCTGAGGTTTTTCTTTTTTTTTTAAATTGGTAAAATCGGTAAAAAAAAGAAAATTATTTTTTATTTGAGCTCTGATATTTGAGCTTTTTCTAAGCGAAAATTGGTAAAAAAAAAGTTTAGAGCTTTTTTTGAGCTTTTTATGTGGTTTTTCTAATATTTGAGCTCTAATCAGAGTATGAATAGATTATAAATTTCATTGAGCTTTGATCAGTGTACAGATACATTACAGTTTAGGGCTTTTTTTGAGGTTTTTATTTTTTTAAAAATGGTAAACTTGGTAAAAAAAGAAGAAGTATTTTTTATGATATTTGAGCTTTTTCTGAGCGATAATTGGTAAAAAAAAAGTTTAAGGCTTTTTCTGAGCTTTTAATGAGGTTTTTCTGATCTTTGAGCTCAGATATTTGAGCTTTGATCAGAGTACGAATATATTATAAATTTCATTGAGCTCTGATCAGAGTACGAATACATTACAGTTTAGGGCTTTTTCTAAGGTTTTTCATTTTTTAAAATTGGTAAAATAGGTAAAAAAAGTTTTTTAATTTGAGCTCTGATATTTGAGCTTTTTCTTAGCTTTTTCTGAGCTAAAATTGGTAAAAAAAAAAAGTTTAGGGCTTTTTCTGAGCTTTTTCTGATATTTGAGCTCTGATCAGAGTACGAATACATTATAAATTTCATTAAGCTCTAATATTTGAGTTCTGATTAGAGTACGAATACATTACTATTTAGGGATTTTTCTGAGGTTTTTATTTTTTTAAATTGGAAAAATAGGTAAAAAAAGTTTTTTTTATTTGAGCTCTGATATTTGAGCTTTTTTTGAGCATTTTCTTAGCTTTTTTTGAGCGAAAATTGGTAAAAAAAAAAGTTTAGCGCTTTTTCTGATCTTTGAGCTCTGATATTTGAGATCTGATCTTTGAGCTCTGATCAGAGTACGAATACATTATAAATTTCATTGAGCTCGGATCTTTGAGCTCTGATCAGAGTATGAATACATTAACTTCATTGAGCTTGATCTTTCAGCTTTGATCAGAGTACGAATATATTAAAAACTTCATTGAGCTCTGACCAGAGTATGAATACATTAACTTCATGGAGCTTTGATCACCGTACGAATACATTAAAAACTTTATTAAAAACATTGGAAATTTGTTCAAGTCATTACGCTAAATTTAAGCTTGTTTTTCAGCTTATGTTATATTTCTGTTTTTTTTGTTTTTTGTTTTCCCTATTTTTGTGGTGGAATAACTTTCCTTCTTGTGATATTAGTTCTTTGTTTCTTATACTCATGTTTAATCCATGATTCTAGTAGTTTTACACTGTCTCTTATTCATTATTGCATTATAATTTCTCATTTAATTTGTCTCATATCATGATAATTGCTTTATATTATGTAACTGCTGATGATTTGTGTTTATAGCAAAATTTATCAGTGGAATATAGTTCACAATTCCATGGAATAATTTATCTTTTTCTTCTATTTTATGATGTGTTAAAATGAGTTTTAGATTGAACTCAAACTAAATAGGGAAAAAACAAAGTTGCAAAACAAAAAGAAAAAAGATAAGAAGAAGAAGAATAGCAGGATGGAGAAAGCGAATTTGTGACTACAGGTTTTAATTATGTATGTTTAATGGGATGATTTCTTACTGCTTGCATTGTGCATGTACGTTTGAATGGGCTGATTTATTAGTTCTTGCATTTTTAATTATGTATGTTTAAACTATTACAGGTTATTATTGAATGGGTTGGTTTTGTACATGAGTTGTGAATGTTTAAACTATTTATTAGTTCTGTATCGAGAATAAGTGGTCCACAGCCTTTGAGTCGCTAGATGCCCAGCCCTTGAGGTCAGTTGTGTTTGTTGGGTTTGGGAGTGAGTGTAGACTAAATATAGAATAAGTTCATGAGATAGCCTATGGTCTAGAGCCCTCTAAGCAGCCATTTGTTTGGGCCCTTAGGAAGCCCTCAAGGCCCACGATGGCTTAGAAATCTTACCGGAATAATTCGAGGTTCAAATTGGCTGATGTTTTTTTTTCTCTCCCATCGACTGGCTGATGTTAAAAAAAAGAAAAACAATTGGCTTAGATCTCTCCCATCGAGGCCCACGATGGATTAGATCACTCCCATCGACTGGCTGATGTTTTTTCCTTATTTAGCCTTAATATTTCTAGTTTGATTATTTTCTTTTGTTTTTCTTATTTAGGCTTAATATTTCTTGTTTGATTATTTTCTTTTAATTGAGAATAACATGTTCCCAATGGAGCATACCATGCACTTACTCTGTTGGACCAAAGACCTACTTAAGAAGATTTTTTCAATCAGAAATTTTGAAATCTACTTTATAATGATGAAATGAGTACTTCAAAAAGGAAAAAAAAAAAAAGGAACAAAAGATGAAATCTACTTTATAATGATGAAATGAGTATTTTTTTTAAAAAAAGAAAACAATCAAGAACAAAAGATGTTGTCACATGGTGGTTTCGTTCCCACTCACACCACCCTACTAACACTTCAAAAAAACTAACTCCTAAACTATTTTATAACAAAAAAAGGTTTATATAGAGCCGAGGCTTTAAACAATCAAATTAGAGCCCATCTCAAAAGATGTTACCTCTAAGCTAGATTCCCAGCCCCTTTTAAAAAACTAATTATGTATGTTTAAACTATTTATTAGTTCTTGCATTTTTAATTATGCATGAGTTGTGAATGTTGCTTGATACAGATGCATCACTGTTGAATATAAGTAGTGCTCAAGTTATTACAAGTTATTATTGAATGGGCTGATTTCTTGCTGCTTGCATTGTGCATGAGTGTTTGAATGAGCTGATTTCTTAGTTATTGCATTTTTAATTATGTATGTTTGGGCTGATTTCTTACTGCTTGCATTGTGCATGTGTCTTTGAATGGGCTAATTCATTAGTTCTTGCATTTTTAATATGTATATATAAACTATTATATGTTATTGTTGAATGGGTTGGTTTTGTACATGGTTTTCTTTATGGATGCATGAGTTGTGAATGTTGCTTGATACAGATGCACCAGTGCTGAATATAAATAGTGCTCAAGTTATTACAGGTTATTGTTGAATGGGCTGATTTCTTCCTGCATGCATTGTGCATGTGTGTTTGAATGGGTTGATAGTTTTTGCATTTTTAATTATGTACATTTAAACTATTACAAGTTATTCTATATATGTTCAAATGTTGTGTGCCATTATAATCTTGTCGAGAGAGAGAGAGAGAGAGAGAGAGAGAGAGAGAGAGAGAGAGAGAGAGAGAGACGACACATATAGTATATATAGTATAATAATAGTAGTTGTTCGTTCTTACTTACTTAGTAGTAACGTAACTAAACCGAACGTAAACTACACGTACGTACGAGTACGTACGTAG